AACTATTTATACAAGATGCAGTGGCCAGTCAGGGCAATAAAATAATGGTTTACAAGAAGCCTAAATAAAAGCTAGGGCTGTCCTGAGCAGGACGGCCTGTGGTGAGTCAATGGGTAAACATTCTCAGTGCAGAAACAGGAGGGTGGGAGTGACAGCTAAAACAGATGAGGGCAAATCTGTGAATAAATCCAAGCAAGCATCACTGCCTGTGTTCTCATGCACCTTGGTCCTTGCAGTCTGTTTGAGTTAGGGTTATGCTTCTCTCCCACCCACTTAAAGTCCTTTTAATAATTTGAAACTTGCATAAAATAGAGTAAATCCTATTTGAAGAAAAGTTCTCTTGTACTGCATGTTGTCTAAGGAAACCTCCATGTTATGCTTAGAACCATTATGCTTAGATCTGTAACAATTTATTTCAGTGGGAAAACTTCCACTGGATTTAATAGCGACAGGGTCTGAACTACATTTCCATGAATCATTTCAAGACAGTTTACCATTCAGGGATATTGGCTTCTTACCAAATGACTGTCTTATTTAGGTCATAAGGCAGATTGTTTTCATTCCATGTTATATCCAGCCTCATGGATGTGCTCTTGAAAGGAACCTGAAACTTGGATATCATAACATTGGTGAAATAGCCTTAATACTTTAACACATTACGCTGCTATCATGAATTACATTTTGGGAGAAAATACTCTCACATATCCTATAAAAGAAAAATTTACACTATTTTAGTAGTGTAAATTATTTAGATCTATTTTAGTAGTGTGGCCACAGTTCTGTATCTCTCCTTGAGGTAAATCTAATCATGTAAGAAAGATTTACTTGATAAAATCCAAATGTAAGTACCTCTTGTTACTCCATACAAAAAGGCATTTTCAAAATGGTAAATGAAATGTCCTTGCTTGAAATTGCATTGTGAAACCAAAGGCTTTGTTGCATAAACATTCACCAGCTAAGCAAAGCATCCTTGCGGGGCATTTGGGCAGGCTTATAGTTGTGCAGGAGAAGGGATCCATGAATGGTGGGGATGCTGCCCACAGGGGCTGATGCCTGGGTGTACATTTGGTGTCTAACTGGCCCGTGGGGGGCTGTGAGCATGGCCTGGGCAGCTGGCATGGCTGTTGGTGGGCTAATGTGCATGTAGGTGCCTGGGCTGGTTTTCAGGCTTCTGTTCACTGTGCATACTCTCCTTCTGGCTCTTCTGTGAGTTTCCTTTGCCATCTTTGGATCTTTGCTGCTGCTGGGAAGGCTGATCCTCGTAAAGGCATGTTAAGCACCCATTTAGTAACAGCCTGAACCCCCCCTGTTGTACAAAAGGAGGGGTGCCGGGAGACCCTGGTAGGTTGTGGGTGGCAAATGGAGACTGACATGATGGGGAAGGCTGGAGACCTGGGAATTCTGGCAGTAAGAAAATGGCTCCTTCTCCACTTGCAGGTCTGCAACTGCAGAAGAGATTTAGTTCTCTGGAAGCAGATGGAGGGGGACACATGATTTAGTGACAGCAGCCATAGGTAAGACACTCAGTGCTTTGTTTGCTTTGCTGTGTACTAACAAGGACTCCTAGGTCTCTGCATTTAGTGTAAAGATTCAAGGAGAACTACCAGCAGTAGAAGGCTATGAGACCAGATAGGCTGCATCTGAGGATGCTGAGAGAACTGGCTGACGTATTTACAAGGCTGCTGCCTTTGATCTTTGAAAGATTGTGGAGACTGGGGGAGATCCCCAATGATGGCAGAATGGCAAGTATTGTGCCTGTGTTCAGAAAAGACCAAAAGTTCAGCCTAGAAAACTACAGGTCAGTCAGCCTCACTTCAGTCTCTGGGAGAATCATGGAGTGAGTCCTCTTGGAATATATTTCTAGGCACATGAAGGAGAACGTGGTTATCAGGAACAGTCAGGATGGGTTGACCAAAGGTATACTATGGCTGACTGACCTGATTGCCCACTATGCAGAAATGAGTGGCTTTGTGGATGAGGGGAGAGCAGTGGATATCATTTCCTTTGACTTTAGCAAGGTTTTTGGCAGTGTCTTGCATCATGTTCTCGTGTCCAAGATAAGATGTTACAGTTTAGAGGATGAACAACCTGATGGTAAAATAACTGGTTGGGTGATTGGCCTTAGAGGGTGGTGGTTAATGGATCATACACTGCTTGGAGGCCTAACAAGTAGAGCACCACAGGGTCTATCCCTGGACCTGACCTGTTTAACAGTTTCATAAATAACATGGAGGAGACAACGGAGTGTACTTTCAACAGAATTGCAGATGTTGCCAAACTGCAATGTTCAGGGCTGGGCTACTTGTGCTGTGAGGCTGCAGAACTGGGGCTTGTTCAGCCTGGAGATGAGGATGCTTTGGAGGCACTTAACAGTGTGTGTGTCCTCTGTCCCCCCCCCGCCCCATAACTATTGGAGATTATTTAGAAGATGGAGCCATGATCTTCAAAATGGTGCGAGATGGACAAGAAACAACAGGCAAAGGTTGAAACAAGAGATATTCGTACTGGATATGAGGAAATACCTTTTCACCTCAAGGACAGTGGGGTAGTGGCACAGGCTGCCCAGGGTGATTGCGCAGCCTCCATCCTTGGAGGTTTTTAAGACCTGTCTGAAGAAAGGCCCAAGGACATGGTTTGAGCTCATGGCTGAGTCTACCTTCAGCAGAAGATTGAACTAGAGAACTGCTGAGGTCTCTTCCAACTTGAACGATCCTTCATTCTTATGATCAGATAGATGAAACACCACGTTGTCTTGGTGATTTTCTGAGAAGCAATATATTGGTAAAGACTTTCTTTACCCATTTCTGTTTAAAGATGCCTTGGCCTTGTAACAGTCTTTCATGAAACAACTCTTTCACCTGCTGTCTCCTTCACCCCCAAAGCAAGGTTACTCTTTACAGCAGCAGACAGAAGACTCATTGAAAGAAATGTCACTGACAACAAGCAGTTAATCAGCAGCAGTCCTTAGTGTGTCCTTACATCTGGAAAAGTTAGCCAATGTTAATGCAAGGTGTAGAGCTGATGTAGACAATACAGACACTTTATAATCCCAGACAAAGCCAAGATCACAGAACTGTATAATGAGCTATCCCCCACTTTTATACAAATGACTGATTTAGCAAACCCTAAGGATATTTCCTGGAGTTCTGCAACAATGTTGGAACATTTGCTTTGTGTGCAACAGAGCAAAACTAAAGTTCTTAAGATAGAAAACCTATGTACTGCTAAGAAATACACTCTAGAAACTGCTGGAATGCAACTATTCACATTACTCTTATTTAAAAATCATTTGGGGTTTGCACATATTTCATGTAATTCAGGAAGTAGCTATTATCATTAATTATGCTTGCACTTTGTGTTCATTGTGCTAGGTACAATACTTTTAATAGTAATACAGAGTAAGTATTTCTAGACAAAGCTGAAGGCAGGCAAATACAGATTTTTACCTGGCCTATGTAGATGGAAAAGAAGCAGAGGGTGAACTCATTTAAGAAAAATAAAATTCCTCTGCTGGAGTGTTTTACGCAGCAAATGGCCACAGTGGTACAGTTCTGACAGCAACTCATCCTGAGCAGCATCTGTGGTTCCCACTGAGTTCCATCACTTGTATTGCATCAACTGGTAGCAGTCATTGAGATTAAGAATGAACAAATCCATCTCTGGGATTTTTAGGTTTTGTTTTTGCTAGTTAATGCTAAATTTTGCACTCAGGCATTTTGATTTGCAAGGTAAACTACTGTTCATTTTAACTCAGAAGCAAAATGCAGTTCAGAGAGGTTCATTTTTGCATAAATTGGTGTTCTGGTCCCTTGAAATGTGGATCTGTAAAAAGATGGTTTTTGGACTGGATTGTAATAAGATGTTTTTTGGAATGGATTTTCATTGCCTGCAGTCTGTTTCATATAACTGGGGATGGGTATGACGTGATTTGACGCATATAAGACTGTTCCTTTTCAGGATTCATTTAAATCCATCCCAGTTCAGAAGAAGAAACTTGTTTCACAGCTGTGTAGGTGCCATGTATGTAGTCCATTGCCTTCTCACATCAGTTACTCTTAGGCAGGTGGTCACATCACAAGCTATCAGAGTAATTGGCATGAAAAAAAAATAACCTCATGTCTCTTAGGAGGGAGGACAATAATTAACAGCATATGGAAGGAGTTGCTTTTACCACAGGGATGAAAGGTACATTGGTAAAACAGGATTTGGGCAAATTTATGCTCCTGTTGTCTCCGTCTGTGGTGTCAGCCTGTGTCTGAACAGGACATTCTGGCTTATGGTGTGTCCAGGTGATAGTCAGAATAATTAATATATTTTTTAAAGATAGAAAACAAACTTAAAATTAGAGCAGTTCATTGACTTCAGTTGTAAGAATCTGGCCTACTGTAATTCCATAGAAATTACTCATGAATTTTACAGAAAGTATCTTTATTTTTCATTTCATCCTACTGTCAGAAATAGTGCATACACATGTTTTTCAATTTTGTATGTTCGTATTTCCTGAAACTTTGCCTAGAACCTGAAAAGTGTTGGAAAATACTGGAAAATCTGTATATGATTTATAAGCTATCTTTGAAGGGGATATCTTTCAAGCTGCTACCGCTGCAAAAAAACCTATTTCAATGATAAGCATAAGCCTGAATTTCCCCAAAGTGCTTAACTTTAAACTATTTGATATCAGCCAGAATTCCAGAGTATTTCAGCTCAGATTAAAAAATCTATTTTTAATGTAAAAAGTCATGCAAATTGATAAATGAGTCTTACGATATCCTGTCTAGGATGACCATGTCAGGCATATGGTTGAATTTATCATGTATCTCACACAAAGAAAGGCTTTTTTTTTTTTTTTTTTTTTTTACATTTGCAAATAAAGGAGATTGATTCCCATCTTGAAATAATTTACTAACACATTATAAACTCGTCAAACGCTAACGTGGTACAGTACGCCTTATTTCCTGTTTACTAAATAATCCTTTGGCTGTCTGCTCTGTGTCTTTCAGGTTGAACCTGGAATTGTTCTCTGCCAGCGACGTCATGGAGCCTGGCATCAGAGTCCTTCACCTGAAGGAAAACATTGCCTTCTTGGCTCGGCTTCTTGCAAGTACAAGCCATGGCGGATTCCCAGTGGTTTGCAGGCTCAAGCCAGACCATGCAGAGGTGTTCCAGGGATCTATTAAAAGGTAAAAACGCTATCAAATTGATGTCTTGTGATGTTTCTGGCCATTTATCAGATTTTTCTTCTTTAAGCATCTGTTTGTGAATATTATTTGGGATGGATATGAAACTTGTTCTTACTTTCTTTAGCATGAACAGCAGGTGTCCTTTAAAAGAAAGGACCTAGGTCCTTTCTAGTACAAGGTTATCTATTGCATCCGGGATTTATTGAAACAGCACCAATGAAACAGTCTTATGGGAACTGTGGAAAATGGAAAATTGCCCTTCAGAGCCTTAAAGGTTCATTGAAACCGTAATTTAAAAGTATTTGAATCTAGTTACTCAAGAAGTATCCCATGCCAATTCAAAGCTGGCTTGCTCTTTCTTCACAATTTTTTTCATTTTATTAGTGTATGCTTTTACAGGAAATGAGTTAACATAAATCATAATACAGATGAGATAAGCAACAAAGTCACTGGAAGTAACATGCTAGGGTAAACAAGAATTAGACTAAAGGAATCTTTGCCATATGGGGGACTCTCAAAAGGCATATAAAATCTCCTGATAAATGAAGTATTTATGGTACTGAATTTCATATGACTGTAAGAGCGAACTCATCCTTTCAGGAAGGTATCATAAGACTGTCCTTTGAGTGGATGGGTCATGAATGGGAGAGGCAGTGACTTAATTTCCACCTTTAGTATCCTAGAGGAAAGGAGAAGATGCATATGCAACTGCTACTGCATAGGAGTTCACACAGCAAAGCCCTGTGAATTATGCTTCCAATAACTGTAATACAAACACATGGCCAGTTTTGTATTGTAATATCATAATCTTTCATAATTTGAATGGTGTTTTCTGTCCTGGGTGACCATAGTATTCTACATCTTGTAGAGAATATTTTTTTTTACCCACTTCTGGTTTAACACCTTAACTGTGTGACAGTTGAGAGCTATCTATGAGCAAACAAGGATAAAAGTATTTTCTTCTGTTGATCTGGACAGGGAAAAATGTTATTCATGCATCATCAGTGGAAATTTGGTGAGGATTTGTCTGCTTGCCTGCTTCATAACAGATTTTCAAGGATGAACAACTGGCAGCTGGATCATATGAACTTACTTCATAGCAATGTGGTCAGCTCCTCTTTGGGAGCATGAAGATGGGAAGGGAGTGAATATGTAATAAAAACTGTGAACTTGCTTCACTGACAAGTGAAACAGTTTGTATGAACTTTTTAGGAAGAGAAATATCTGATCGGAATGAGAAACGTACAGTGGGAATAATTTGGGTTGCAGTGGCCTGCAGGAGTAACGACATCAATAAGTGCAGGATCATATACTTGTATATGATATGTATACTTGTTCCCTCATGATGATGCTATCATAAACATTATTAATAAGAAATGTGCTAAGGCACTAAACCCTAAATTTTTGAGTGGTAGTCTGTGGTGTGCACCAGTCTGCAGATACTACATAGCGTAAACTAGTGTGCCTTTTTAGTTCTCAGCTGTCCACAGCAATAAAAGTAGAAAGCACACTAACAACTGATACAGCTAAAGTTCCTTTGAAATTCAATTTATAATTTCACAATTTCTGTATTAATTCACCAAATCACCTTGCAGTGAGTGTCCCAGGCTGCTGAGGAGTATGCTGAGTTTATACAAACACTGCTGTGGGGTGTAATCCAGAGCAAAGTGGTGTGGGAGCTAGGAAAAAGCTGGGGGATGGAAGGCTGTTCACTAGCACATCTTAAAGAGAGGTGCCATTAGAGAAAAGGTGATGTTACCTGACAATTCTGGTAGGCTTGTAGTTTACTTAATCCCCAGAGCTCTTTCATGATACATTCTGTAGAGCCTTTTAAAAGGGATGAATGAAAAATTTGTTTGCTTGTCACTGTCAGCATAAATGAGCTGCTGTTAGACTGTTTTGAGTAAAGACAAGAAAATGTTTTAAATGGTTGACAAAGAAGCAGCAAATGGCTTTTTTGGCCAGTTGGTTGCTCACCCGAGTGAAACCCACACAGAGACGTTGTCTGGGAGCAAGCATTGTGTTCTGAGGTGCTCTGACAACACTCCTTCTTGCCCCAGTGTGTGCCCAGTGGCCTGAGTACTTGTGTGATTAGATCTGGGTGTCTTGTCCCCAGCAGGGACCATGGGTGACTTTGCTGTTCTGCTGTTCTCACCAACACCAGGAAGGGAATGCTCTGCAGCCATCCTCTGAAATAAACCTTCAAAAATGTGATGTGTCATGGAATTAGTGTATTCATAACCATAAGCAGTTAGGATTTGGGTTTTACATCTTACTCATAAAATTACAGCTCTTGCAGCACGTAATTGTTAAGACCAAGATGGAAATGCTGTGAACTCCTTAAAGGAGAAGGATGTTGTTCAACCGCTTACCTATGAGATCCAGTGCAATCCCATGTGGAGGTGACATGATCACAGGCAGAAAAATGATGGGTTTTTTCTATCTTGTACATCCATAATGTTAAAGTGGATGAAATGTGGTTTGCCTGGCATATTTTTAAAAAGGTGGCTTGAGGAAGATGCAAAAAACAATTGACGTGATATTTTTCTTGAGAGTTGCCTTTCGCATTATTATTGATTCTCAAATGTGTTTTTTTTCTAGTACAAAAATGTCGTTATTAGGTTAAAAAGAAGGGGGAAACAAGCTAATGAGGGAAAAGAAGCAAACAATCCTCTAAGCGTGCATGAAGGCAGCAGCAGCTCATAATTTTTTAATACTGTTTCTCATTTATGTGTTATTCTGTACTGTTTATTCTTATGAAATAAGCAGGGATGAAGCACTGTAAATTTGGACCAAATGTAAAAGTTATTCAGTACCTGCCCACACTTGGAAAGTATAGTGATGAGAGTTGCTGTACAAGGACAAAGTGTTGTTATGTTTTGTAATACATACAAATGACTCCGACCCTTTGAAGAGAAAAGGTCAATGTCAGTTCTTACAAAAGCAAGGACTGTGGCCAAGCAATGTTGGCTGGAACTTGCACCTCAGTGCTGGCCTGTAGCAAACACCCAGATATTCCAATTTTATTAAAAAAACCCAAACAACCCCCCCAAAAATCTTCCAGATCTGTTTAGTGGGGCCAGGTTTTTCTCTCACCCTTTGTGATCTGGATGGTTACCCACTGGGGGGATCAAGATGAGATCACCAAACACGTTTTTACATGGGTAACCTAAATATGAAGCTGTTATCTTCCCCAGTTGAGTAAGCAGTAGAGACTAAAAACAAATGCAACTACTAAAGAAAATCCTTGGCTTTAAAATTATTAAAGAGGAAGCAAACTGTAGCTGAGAAGCAAGTTTCCAAAACAAAGATCTCCTTAGAGTAATACTTTTGACACTTTGCCATAGGCAGAGCTCGGTGCATGCCTGGAAAAGCCTTGCAGAATTCAGTTTGAGGAACATGTGGCTGGTGAACTTGATGAATGGCATTGATGGGGATGATTGACTTACTTTGTGCAGCGCACAAGTTGAGGGCCTGGCTTCCCCTCTTCATTTCTCCCACAGTAATGATGATACTTGCACATCAGAATAAAACAAGCTATTCTTTTGTACTGCAGCTGAAATGTCTCCCCCGTCTCCCCCCAGCGACTGCAGAAAGGGAGCTGGACTGTTATGAATATGTTAGCCCAGAATCTGCTGAAAGTTATAAATGTCATGCCCTAAATGGCATGCCCTCCTGGCTAGGTGGAATTCTTTCTTCAGAGAGACCTGAGGATAGGGCCACTGCCTTCCTTCCCAGGAAGTTTCTGCCAGAGACACTGCATGAAGCTGTAAGTGCACACTGAGGGGCTGTTGGGAGGTCCCCTGGCTCTGTCTTGCCTTGGCTGCTCTAGTCTGTGGCTCCAGATCCTCCTCCAGTGGGAAAAGATAGAGTTATGCATCTGCCTAATTTGTGTGAGACCAAATCTGAAAAAAAGAGCTATTTTTTTCACTTCCACATATGTTACAATGTACTGGTGTAGGGCCATTGTGGGGCAATGAAGTGGTTCTTTGACATGATGAAGAGATTAGACACATCATTGCTTGTGTTTTGCTGCTCCATCTTCTTTGCAAGAGGTTACTTTATAATGTAAACCACAGTAAAAACAGAAGACATGGAGGATTTGAGGATGAAAGCTGTAGGTAATGAATTTCTTTTCCCTGACTGTGGGCACCACTGAGATGTAACAAGGAGGATGATGATACCTCATGGTCATCAGCAACATCTTTGTTGCCATGCTACACATCCTCCCGCTCATGATCACTTCTCTTCATGTGTGTGACACTTATGTACTCTCTGATTTCTTCCACCAAAATGACTGACAATGTGCTCTCTACCTAGGTGCTTTTTTTTTTTTTTCCCAAGATGTTGTTTATCCTTTATTATATGTAGGATTCCTGCATATTTGTGACTGATGAATACCGTGTTCCTCTCAGGGACTGTTCTGATGTTGGTGACTTTGCTTTCCTTTATATCACTTTTGCCAAGGAAAATGAAGGAGCGAAGTTTCCGTACTGCAGTTAAATCCTCCTGGTATTCACTGAAGAAAAGCAGGTGGATGCTGGTGTCTTGTTAGGCCAGGATCTGTCCCCTCCATTTCTGTTCAGAAATGGTGCAGAGAGGCAGAGAAGCTGGAGTGCTGCCCAGCAATCTTAATTTCTGCCTTGAACATAGCTATGAAACAATTTTCCTGGAGAAACTACTGGGCTGACAAGTATCACTGAGTAGCCTGTTTGGGCATTTTACCATAACAAATAAGCCATTTTGTTCATGCCTGAACTGCTCAGGTCTGTGCCATACATAGCTGTCCTGTTGTAAGGCTGAAGGCAGAATTCCCTGCTTTTGCCTTTGCACTCTTACCTACACAGCTGTTAGCCCTTACTCTGCATTTTGTCTGTCTATCTTTTAGCTGAAGGAATTTTTTTTTGGTTGATTTAATTTGATTGGGAGAAAGTAATTATGCAGAAACCACAATATCTCTGACTGTAAGCAGACTGCACAGAATATATCTGTCTAAGCAG